GAGAGAGAGAGAGAGAGAGAGAGAGAGAGAGAGTGTGTGTGTGTGTGTGTGTGTGTGTGTGTGTGTGTCTGTCACTGGCGCCTCTTAGTGGACGCAGAGGATCACTGCAGTCTGCAGCCCATCAGCTTTGTTTTCTGTGAAAAAATAAAATGTTTAATTTCAAATAATGTAAAACACATCTGTAAACTACAGCTGTAAGCAGGGTCGTTATCATTAACTAAAACTAAAGCCATAAAAAAAATAATTACTTGAAACAAAATGAATGTTAACTGAAATAAAATATAAAAAAAAACTGAATTGGTTAAATTTATTTTTTATTTTTTTACAGCTAGTTTCCAAGCCATCATTTCTCGTTTTAATTAATTTCTCCTGTAATAACTAAAACTGAAAGTGAAATAAATTTAAAAAAACATTTAAAAAACCTACTAAACATGACAAAAACACACAACAAAATTTTAACTAAAATTAAATTAAAAACAGTATATACAGTGGGTACGGAAAGTATTCAGGCCCCCTTAAATTTTTCACTCTTTGTTATATTGCAGCCATTTGCTAAAATCATTTAAGTTAATTTTCAAAGAGTGAAAAATTTAAGGGGGTCTGAATACTTTCCGTACCCACTGTATAAAATCAAATCAAATTCAAAATATTAACAAAAACGATAGTATTATATAAATAATGCTAAAATAACACTGATATGTTCATGTAAACATCACAGTTGCATTTATTGCACTTTATTTTGAATGTTTTTAATAGGATTTTAAATGCTGTTAATAAATAATTGTTAACCACACAGGATAATTTTCATGACTATATTACATAAGCATTTATTTATTAATTCATTTATTTATTTATCTGTTTTTTTGTTGAAGTAATAAGAATCTAAAGTTTAATTTGTCATGAATTTATTTTATTTTTATTCCAATTTTCACATTTCGCTCCAAAACAAATAACAACAGAGCAACATAAGACACACCAGAAAATCCACAAAAGACAGGCAGACAGAGAAAACGAAAATAATGAAATAAATACACAATAAAAATAAAATAAGATCACATAAAGACATGCTTGTTCTAACCCTGCTGCGTGGAATGTCATGCAACTTTCATGTTTTTCACAGTGCAAAACAACCCTCATGGCTTCATTTGTATGCAGCGTAATTTTATATTTTATATTTTCCTTTACTTTGTAGGGTAAATCTGAGCTGTGTGTGTTTGGTCAGGTGATGGACAGCTCGATGCCTCTGATCGGAGAGCATGTGGAGGAGGATCGGCAGCTGATCTGTGATCTGGTCATCAGTAAGATGGCCTTCGCTCTGCTGGGAGTGACCACACCACAAACATCCACGAAGGTTACCGCGGTCACGTGCTCATTTACACTCAACCTGAGCATCAGTCTGTGGAGTTTAACACGTGTGTGTGTGTGCGTGTGCGTGTTTGTGAGTGAGTGTGTGTGCGTGTGTGTGTGTGTGAGTGAGTGTG